TGAGTGCTTAGCAGCAGACAAAAGACGTCTATAAACGTAGCTTTCACTAAAAAACAGCCTCGCTCGCATTCGCACACTCAATCTAGATATTAATATATATATATATATATATATATATATATATATATACAATAAACAAATATTTTAACGGTACATGGCCAAGGCTTAAGCTGAAAGATTCTCGCCAGTAATGGCCATAGTCAAGAAAACGGTCTTACTATCAGGCCCGTAGCCAGACGGGTACAGTGTGTGCCCGTGCATCCCCTCAGGCTTAAGGTGCACTGTGTGCCCGTGAATCCCCTGGAGCTTAGGGTGCATTGAGTACCCGCACATCCCCCTGGGCCCTGGGGCCACCCATCCCCTGGAGCCTAGGGAATGCAATTTCAGCCTCGTTTATTGGAACCCTTACACTTGGGAGCGGGGCCGTCAAAGGTTGAATGTACCCCTTTCTTGCCTCGAAGTTTGCAGGAAATGGTAAGAAAAAACATGTGCACAGTGTAATTGTAACAGCAGGGGGAAAACAACGGATCGTGTTCAAACCAGGTGTCCGCCTGCTTGCATTCGCTTGTATCATGATGACTCAGTTAAGCGCTTGGCAACTGAGTTTACTACCACAATATGGTCCTCATATGCATAGATGATTACATGAGAACACTTCGATGATCTAATCGACGGAGCGCAGAGCTGAAACCGAAGTTCATGATTACGCATTGGTAAGATAACAAGACATATACAAACAAGATACAATTAATATTTTTGAGAAGCGAAAAACAAAGGTTTTGGAGGCCCTCTCGGTGATCAAATTTTAAAGAACAACCCATGAATCCCATCTCACCCGAAAACTCACCATAAAATTGGTTTATTTGTAGAGATGCGGCTCCCCTAAAAATTGTTGAATCAATGGACATACGTCATTGGGAACCAGACCTAAGCAGACTGGTTTCATTGTGGAGGCTTGTATCGCCCCACACTTCTTGTTTTCACCCTTTGTAGCATCTTTGTCTCGTGAGTAGTTCGCTTATGGCGTGTGCTCGTCACATGTGATCTGTGATCTGTAACCGCTCGTGTGTCACCGCTGTGGCACAGGTGAACATGATTGTTCGGAGCCGAAGCTTTCTTCAAATATGATTGCCCTTGACGTAACAGAACAGGTGACTGATAATTTTGCTGGTTTGTCAAACATTTCAGGTTAAGTGTTGATAAGAAAGACATGAAGTTGATACGTTTTCCTGCTTTTCCTTTCTATTTGAATATAGTTCAAAACTTTTAGTTCCTGTTATTTGTACAAGCATGTCGACGGCCCCTGGTGTTTGCCAATGACTTGCATCTCTAATGGGATCTACGCTGGTCCGAAAAAGACGATCCCAAGGACTGTGTGTGGAAATCGGTCAATGTTAAAAATGGAGGTGACCGATTTCAAGATGTCTGTTTGCAACAGAGTCGTGTATAGCGTTTTTGCTTCGTCGTTAGGATTTCACATCCCACTCGCTCATACTATGGTGAATGCAACCCTCTCCTGCAGCGCTCTCCTGAAGAATTCACTAAAAGCCTTTGTCTCTGTGGCGCCAGGACCCCCGAACACTTGGTGTCGGGATACATCGCTGATATCACATACATTATGCATTGAATTGGATACCTTACGCCATCCTACTTTATGGTGATCGGGAATCACAAAAGGCCACTGGGCCTGTAGGTTCCTGTCTCGTCAGACTCCCGGTCCGGTAACCAAACAGTCTTAAGTTACGGACAGGTTCAGTACGGAATGTCAGAAATGATGTCCGCCCAGTGGACAGCAAGTCTAGACTTAAACTGTTCAACTGAGACGATACCGTTCGGATGTGCAAGAGAGTTCCAATCGTTAACGACCCGTTTTCTAAACGAATTACGACGGAGGAAAGTCTCAGCTCGAGGTTTTCCCAGCTTCCATTGGTGTCTTCTCGTCACCTCCGAATCGTGTCCTGTCAGGAGCTCCTCTTCCGGCAGCAACATACCCCCGTGGAACATTTGATACACTGCAACCATAGTCTCTCCTGCGAAGACGCGTAGCCCGTCGCTGAACCCGCTCTAGTCGCTCCTGATCCAGTCTTCCGAATGGCCCCAAATGATGCTGTTATTCTCCAAATACAGACATCGCGATACGGTATTGTATTATGATATGATATTATTTATGATATGGGTGCATTATGCGTCGCATTGCATACATTGATACAGTGCACCGGTACATCGCTTCTTGCTCCGGGCCCAAACCCTCCATCCTCGAAATTCCACTTAAAGAGAGATTTTGCTGGAAGGGGTAAACCGGGAAAATCTTTAACGTGCGATGCAATGCCAGGACAGGTCGTTCCCTGGTCGATTTAACATTTTTCCTCGGTTTGGTCAAATGCCTTCATTGGGTATCGAAAGCACACCAAGGCCTGGCATTCACTGCCATATCCAGCACACTGTCCACTCGGCCATAAGGCCGATGAAGTGTCTTGTATTTCTGCATTAGGCTACAAACTCGAAGAAACAAGAAATAAAACCGTCTGACAAAGAAAACCTATCGGGCAGCATTGGTAGCCAACGCAAGTAGCGATCGTCAATACGTTGAAAAACCTTTCATTTATGGGAGCTTGAAGATGTGCAATCATAATAACAAAAGCAATCGGATGATGCAAGCCAAAATATAATAATCATGAATAAAACTGAAATGTATACCTTGCAACGCTAAATGACTTGGCCAAATGCGTTGAGGATGACACTCCCGAGACACTTTGCTGCCATCCATCCCCAAAGGCTTGCACGCTTGCACCCTGGTTCGGTGGGGCTGATTCCACCTTGGTCGCATTTCCAAGTCCACTCTTTGCGAGTCCATAAGCAGAGAACGCGAGGGGTCAGGGCGAGCTGGCAGAGATGCAAGTTCCCCATGCAGGTAGAGGATGCAACATGCGCATATTTTTGGAGAAATTACAAATTCAGTGACATGGGCAGGCTTTCTTCGCGATCCCCACCCAGCCCATGGACAGATAAAAAGAACACCGAGGTAGACACGGAATAGCGATGTTGCCGATCACAAGCCCGCTATCAGCCAGTACATACGCACCTGCTTCACAGCACTACCTTCTGTTCCATAACTCCAGACCATGGCCTGACCTGGTGTCGACACGCATGTTCGTTGCGCTATCCGTTGCAGGTCGGTGTGCAAAATTTAAGATTCGCTAGGTAAGATACACACTCTACCGTCGATTTCAGGTTCTTGGCATGAGACCCCGCAGTTGTTTCGGTCTTCCATACATAGATGAAACGAATTCCCCGCTGACTTTAGCCTCCTTTGGGGCTTTGGTGAAGACATTTTGATACCCATGACGCCTTTTCGTAGGTGATTTCGATATAATGCCGCGGAACATTCGCCCATACAGCAGATTTCAAACGTCTTGTGCCTAACACTATGGCATCTCTACCGTGAATGCTGAAGAGCGAGAAAAAGACAGGATCCGAGAAAGAAGATCACAGAAAGAACAGCCGCGAGGGAGTATTCCAGCAAGAGGGCCGGAGCAAGGAGACAGAAAAGGAGGCCTGAAAATGAAGTCCCGGAGAAAGAGATGCGAGAAACAAAACTTGAAAAAGAATACCTGCGAGGAAATACAAGAAAAAAGACAGGACAAGAGAAACCAGAAAATGAGATCCAAAAGAAGAAATCTATCTGAGGCACGGCACAGTTGATTCTGGGAATCGGGGGTGAGACCCGGGATACCAGAAAGACAACACGTCAGAGGCACGAGAGAGCAGCCCCAACAGATCCGAGAGAAGTGAGAGAGGAGACCCACTGATCCGCAGCAGTGAACGTGGCCAATGGCAGCTGTTCCGCCAAACCTCAAAGCGTTGCGGCACAGTCTGTGACGCGCGAACCACTGCGCCGTGCCCGTCATCTGCGGCTCTATTTCATCACCGACTGGCGGGTTTGGGCTGCCTCGAGCTTGTGTGACCATTGCGCGGTTAGTGCGGGGGAGCGTCGTTCCATGCAGAGGAAGTCGCCGTGCGTGTCGCCCGTCGTGGCGACTCATCGTGAAACAGAGCATGCGTGAAAGGAATATAGTTCCCTATAGATCGTTAAAGGAATAAAGTCGGATGGGACGCTTTGTGAGTGTAACACAAGCTCAAGCGATTCATTGAAGTGGTGGACTTGAAAGATGATTTACTGCACATTCAGAAACTTCAGACGCTCATGAAGATACCAAAGCATCGACAAATTTAGACGCAGCACTCGCATTGCTGTTGTTTAGAACAACATCCTCCTTTAATGCTGTCAGCTCATTAGTTTGTACTTCGTTACAAGGTACCACCTAGAGTAGGTAATGAACTACAGTTTTTCGGAGTGCTTAAGAAAGCGTATTGAAATAACAAATGGAATACGTTGTCAAACGTTTTGTACAAGCACTAATGCTCCAGATAAGTAGCATAGTCTAAGTGCGTGATAAATTACCAGTTATTTGCTGGTAACATATTTTCGGACTACCTTGGTATTGCGGAGAGGCCCCGGAGTTGGCGACGATGTCAACAGCGCTGTTGACCAAATTATGAAGCATATATATATATATATATATATATATATATATATATATAATTTTTAGGGGCTAACAGACACGATGATATTTCTTCTAACGAATGGGTCAGATTCCGTGACGTTGGTTACCCTGAGCTGTTGCTTTACAGTTACAAACTTGTGTGCCCTTGCTCGCTGAAAATACGCTGACTAACACACATGCTAAAGCGACTGAACGATGCATGGCTGCCGCTCCCTTCTGCATGCCACCTGCACGTGCTCAGGCGGCTCTGACCCCCCCCCCCCCCCGCCGGCAGCGGGGTCCGAGGCCCGGCCAGCGTCGGCCGACAACATCGACGACGACCCGGTGCTGGTCCGCGACCTCAGCTTCCTGGACCAGCTGATCAACCCGTGTCACGTGGTGCACAGCGGTGCGCTGCTGCCGACGACGGTGGCGGCGGCGGCCGACACGCGCCAGGGGGATGAGGAGCTGACCGTGGAGCTGCGGCTAGCCAGCTCGCTGCTGCACCAAGTCCGCGCCGTGTCGGTACGTCTGGCCGACCCCGCACCGCCGGCGTGCCGGGCCTGTCACGTGGCGGGAGGCCGGGTGCGTGCTGCGTTTCGGAACCTCCGGCGCATTGTCGTAGACCGTTTCTCGTCCAGCGGGAGGCGAGGTCGAGGCGTGCAGGAACCTTTCAGCCGATGAGTTCCCTTTTTGTCGCTATAGGGACTATGATTTTATTTGGGGAACTTTTCATACTTACGATCGTATTTTGATGCCCATGTTTTAGAAACCTTACCGCAGTCTTGAACTGGCAAAAGCACTGGGGCTTTAGGCTAATGGGAGTCGCCACCCCCAATAGAGGGGGAGGGGGCATGTCCACAAAGCCCCCCCCCCCCTCCGGGTACGCCGCTACACGGTCTTGTGCAGTGTTCCAGCCGTAGTCGGTGCTGGTGGCCGCAGTTTACCTGTTAGATGACACCGACATCTCATGAAATCGGTTTCGGTCGCCGCCGGTCGTCCGTAATCGGAAATCGGATCACAGGCCAGGTGTCAAATTGGATCGCAATCGGATCGAATCAGAATCGGATCACAGGTCAAAGTGACACTTCATCGATCCATCACAATGTATACTTGGGGTTATAGCGGGTTGTGTTGCTATGCTTGGAAAAAAATTATCGAGCATAGCCATTACTTTTTTGTTTGTTTAGGCCTCGACTATGTTCCGTCACAAGTTGCAAGTTGCCATATGACGAAATGTACCCAACGCATAAACTCGACATTTACCAGCAGGGCGGTGGTGCCGCTCCATTAAAGAGATACGCTGCCATGACGTTTGATAGGTAGAACATTAAGCATATGCTATTTCCATGCTATCTAACCTGTTGAACAGTTCGGTACTTGGGGAAGGACACCGAGACTCAAGCCGCCACTAGCTTATACGTTGTCTGTACATGGGCAAGAGTAACGCCAAGGGATCTGCATTCACTGATGTGAAAGGTCCGCCTCTGTAAAAACGACATTACGTCAACTGGACATCTCTTAAAGCGACGTCCAGAGTGATATAGCGATGATGCCATGAAATTAAATTGCATTGGCTTTCTCATCACTTTATCAGGTCCACAAAAAGGCCATAGCAGCGGAACGGCGATTGACCCATCTTGGGCCTGGATTATGCACCGACCACTTCCGCCTCCTGACAACCAATAACGCCAGAATGCTTTATTGGCGGGTCACATGTCTCGCCAGCGGTTAGGCCTTTCTGACAAGCCTATCACAACACCGCTCAGGCAGAGTGCCGAGGTCATCCGCAAGCTCTTAAAGGAAAGCAATTCCTCGCAATAGCAGTGCGAGCTGGGGCGTTACTGCCAGCTGAATGGAGAATGACGGGCTGCGAATCTGAACTGTGCTGGCAAGGGTCTGCCTCTGCTCTGACCAGTGACAAGGGCAGCTCTGGGCGTCAGCCTCCCCGTAGATGTGACGTTGGCTACGTTGGAGCCCAAGACCCCAGGGCGTTTCATCAGCCTAAGGCACCCGCAGGGCTTCTATAGCCTAAAAAGATCCGCAGAGAAAAACTGGGTCCTTAAGGGACCAAGAGAAACCCGTTGCTGTAAGGACCCATGCACCGTTGTTGCCTCTTTTAAGACGAATGGCTATGCCTATGGTTACGCCGCTGGTGCTGACAAACTCCCCGCAAATAGCTGCTATGAGAGGAGGAGTGAACGGTGGCAGAGCGCGCGCTGCCTGCCGCCGCTGCACCGCGTCCGACATTCAGTCAGAGTTCTGTCAGAGGTGGGCGCGTGAGCCAGCTCTTAGTCACTGGCAGCCTCTGACCCTGTTCGCAGGGGGTGCCGGACTGCGACGGCATGTACTTGCAGAGTCAGCCGTCCATGCCAGATCTGGTCGGCCTCACGGTGAGTAATGCCTCGTGCTAGCGGAGGGCCCAGGGCCAGCCGCCCCCGGGACGGGGACGCACGCGGCACAGGACGAAATACGCGTCGCTTGTAATCGACTCCATCGAATCAGCACCGTATCTTTTACGACGCAGTTTCGTTGGCTGGGTGGATCTTTACAGTTGGAGCGCCTTGGCTCGGTCATTGTTTTTCTCGCTCCCTTTTCAGAATGTGAGACTCAAATCACGCAGAACGTCCCTAAAACAACTAAGGCATCAGAAAGCGCACCCATTTTTTCGAAACTGATCTGTCATGGTTAAAAATTGTGCTCGGAAACTTACGCTGATGAACGGAAGTAGACATGTGCTAAATTCAATGCAAGATGAATCGATTCACCACTGATTCGCGGCCTTTGTTGAATAATTCAAATCTTATCCAAAGTGTACTTCGTGTTTTAAGAATCCATCTAGTCCACACGGTCGATCATCGATCATCATTACGATCATTGATCGATTCACACTCCAGTTAATTGTTCAGTTCTGATTCAAATAATTTGACCTGCTGCAAATTGATCACTGATTTGTCCACGCTCAACTATTCTGTGCCGGCTTTAATATTTGCAAGTTATAAATAGCGGATTCATAGCAAACACTTAATGATGCAGACTTCGGAGATAAAGCAGCTATCGTTGTCTTCGAACTGACCCGATGCGTCATTTGACACATGCGCATTGCACTTAGATTCTGAATAGGACGCGTGCGCCAACACGTCACAGGCATCCTGTGCGTACATTACCTAGCACGTTGTCGGGGTTTCTGACGCAATGAGTTTTCCGGATGCGTTGTGACGGCAATCGGAGTTGGCGGCTGCCATGCGCACTGAAGGAGGCGTCCGGTTCCAGCGGCGCCACGCCCTGCTGGAGCTGTTCCGTGTGTCTCTGTACGAGGCCGCACATCTGAATCTGATGGCGCAAGACATCATCGACTCCAGCTACACGTGTGGCAACGAGACCTTCGACCTGATGCACCAGATCTTCACGTACGTCGCTCTTCCGACTGACGGGAGATTTGTGTTTCTCTTTCTCTCTCTCTCTCTCTCTCTCTCTCTCTCTCTCTCTCTCTCGCTATCTCTCTCTCTTCTCTCTCTCTCTCTCTCCTCTCTCTCTCTCTCTCTCTTCTCTCTCTCTCTCTCTCTCTCTTTTCTCTCTCCTCTCTCTCTCTCTCTCTCTCTCTCTCTCTCTCTCTCTCTCTCTCTCTCTCTCTCTTAGTCTCTCTTCTCCTTTCTCCTCGTCTCTCTCTATCTCCCCCGTATCTTCTCTTCTCCCCCCTCTCTCTTTCTCTCCTTCTTTTCCCGTGTTGATATCTGTCTCTGTGACTGTATCTGTGGCTATACCTGTCTCTGTAGCTGCATCCTCTTTCTCTCCCTCTCTCTGGTTTTCTCTTTTTTTCCCCTTCCATCTTTCCCTCGCTAAGGTGCTGTTTCTTGAGCATGGGACATCCATTGAACAAACGTAACCGAACCATGATAAAACTGCACATAACCGTAACCGAAAGTAGCGCAACCAGACGCGGCCACGGGGAGTGAAGCGATTTTCAGGGATGGGAGTCTGAGTAGGTAGACATGTGAGAAGGATTTACAATATTGGGAGTGGCAATGCAAAAGCGGTCAGTTTATTTGAGTCTCTCTCTCAGAACTTACGCGGATTTAGGCGTAAAAGAGTGCAATCTACCATCACCTGACCAGATAGTCATCGTCACTACCTTTTGCGGGACGGTATTCATTCCATGCTCATCATCGATTTCGGCTGGCTTCTTGTATACCTTCGGTTTGTTTGTTTTCATCAATGATGACGACGTTTCTGTTTCAGGTTGGCAGGTAACCTCCAGAACATTCTCTGCGTCATCTCGGAGAACATTTCGCCTACAAGCCTACAACCGCTGCTGGAGACCGTTAGTGAGGTCACTCTCCACCGGTACAAAGACTGTCCGCGACGCTTGATGAGGTACAACTCGAGCTCTGTGCCTGGCCACCACTGTTGATGCTACCAAAGGAGCGAAATTTATTCCACGAAGGATATAATGACGCAAACGGCAGATAATACTGCACCTCGTAAGCCAACGTGGCGAGACCACGGGTTCACCAGGAGTGGTAATAAGTCACTTTTACAGTGCTAAACCACACTGAATGGCTGTTGAATGTAAATGCGGCTGCCTTCTGCGGGTCTCTACACCGGCATATGCTGATCTGTGCAGCATCCACGGGCGCGCCGCGGCTAACGTCATGTACCTCACCCTGCAGGAACTGTCTGGTATTGGAAAACACGGGCAGCATGCTGGCTCTCTACACGCAGTACCTGCACGAGGCCGAGCTGGCCGAGAACGGCTTCCCGCACCTGCGCGCAGCCCGCGCCGTCACGCGCCGATCGCACCGACTGGCAGTGCGCCGCGAACGCCACGGGAACCGCTCCATCCACACGAGCCGAGTCCACCGCGCCCTGCTCCGCCCTCAGTGAACGCGCGCCGACCGCTGGCGCGCCAGCAGCCCGCGTGGGGCCTTGAGTCGGGGCGACGCCGCGGCCGGTCTCCGAGCCGCGGCGGCCACCTCTCAGGTTCGGGCGCGAGTGGCTCGGCATCCGGGTGACTCAGAGTCGAGATTCGACTCGGCATCCGGGTGAGTCGAGTCCGCGCTCCGAGGGCGCAGCAACCGGTCTCCGTGAGCTCGAGCGCCGCCGTCCGTCTCCGTGGCTTCCGGGAGCGTTCGACGCGACCGCCATCCCGTGGATCATTGTAGTGTCTGACGCCACTGGAGCGCTCGACGCGACCGCCATCCCGTGGATCGGTGTATTGTCTGACGCCACTGGAGCGCTCGACGCGACCGCCATCCCGTGGATCGGTGTATTGTCTGACGCCACTGGAGCGCTCGACGCGACCGCCATCCCGTGGATCAGTGTATTGTCTGACGTCACTGGAGCGCTCGGCGCGACCGCCATCCCGTGGATCAGTGTATTGTCTGACGTCACTGGAGCGCTCGACGCGACCACTATCCCGTGGATCAGTGTATTGTCTGACGTCACTGGAGCGCTCGACAATGGTAGGACACGGTGTCAGTCAGGTCTCTTATTACCGAATGGGTGCTCCTCCGCCCCATTTCAGCCAGTGATCGTTTTTAAAACGAATTGGTGGAGTCTCTGTGCCAATTATTGGCCCACCCGAAGCGATGAGGGATGTTTTCGCGCCAATGAAGATCCTCGCTTCGATCCGGGGCAAGCTGGTCGGGTCAGAAGTGCCTCCCGCGACAGAGAGGATAACAATGCGTGGTGTATCCCTCTCAGGGCCTCCGGATCGACCACGGATCCCCGTCCCGTGTCGGCTCAAGTCAAACGCTTAGAAACAGATCGAGCAGAGACCCCATGCCGTCTTCAGCTTCCCACCGGGCCGTTTTTGTGATATCCGGCAGCTAACATGCTAGCTTTGGTCAGAGGTCAGACAGCTATTTCTCCATTAATCGTTACATTTACGTGCGATTGTGCAGTGAGTATAGGCCAGTTAATGTATGTTGTCATTTACTCCGAAGCGTAATACACGGCCATCTGAAGTCATCCTATGGTCTGCCTAACCTTTACCTGGTCTGTCGTTATCCGCACTCCATTACCACTTAGTAAATGCCGGTCAGCTTGGTCCTCGATATAAAGCTTTTATGGGCCAATCAGCCGGGTCGGTAAAGCTTAATTTTTCCTAACTGTTTTTGTTAATTCCTGATATAATTAGTTGCAATAAGTTGTAACTAAAATATTAGTAACAATAATCAACAATACAATTTAAGTAAATTGATAACAACTGGCACTGACACATTATAGTGTAATAAGTTCTCATTTATATGCACATTCAAATTATGTGTCAATGTCAAATATTATGAAATATTCATGTCTCATGAATTTATTACCTAAAGATAGAACTTGAGTAGTCTTAAAATGAGCCATAAATAGACGATTAATGACTGAAATTAGCAAAACCGCTTTCTTGCTTATTCAATCAAATGGCCACATCACCGTTTAGTTTGCATAGTGTTGATCCACAATCTCACATAAGTAACGTATAAGTAAAGACAAGTAACACTTCGTTTTAATTTCCATCTTGTTTTGTAGCCACTCGATAAAGTTATGGGTAACTATAATGTTACAGGAAAAAATTGCAGCAGTTTACAGGGAGTGTTCCACATTTGTATGGACTTTTTAACCGAAATAGCGATATCGAAGACCATTCGGCGCAGTTCACGGCTCTGCTCTTCTTAAGACCTAAACCTTTCTAGTTTCTAAGCCATACGCCCGCAAAGTTATGCAGAGTATTCTGGAACCAAAATAAGAAATGAAGGAATAAAGAAACAACAATAAGAAGTCATGCTGACATGAAAGGTCAAGGTCAGGACAAAGACCGGCAGACCCGCGTTACATGCTTGCAGGGGCTCGGTCAGTTGAGGCTTTTCATTTTCTCAAAAAGTATACGCTCTTTGGTTAAATGAGGGTGCTGTGTCACGAACATGTAGATGCCAGAATGGGATCATGTCAAGGTCATTCCATAGGTTAGTGTGATAATCTGCTGTATTCATGCGATCTGTGATTCAACATATTTTCACGTCCATGTTGATCGTGTTATGCAGCTTAAACATCAGCTACAATACTTTCCTGGTTATTACATAGTCAAGATGTAAGTAGAATGTCAAGATGTGGTCATACGAGGCCGACATGACACGCAGTATGGTAGTCATTTCACGCATGTTTCCGGATTGCTTATCCCACGGCCTGTTGTTTGTTACAACTTACTCTGACCTTTGAAAGCCATTCAATAGCCATGTGCAGGCTAGGGAAATTGATTTTGAACCTGCTGCATAAAAGGCTACTACTCTGCCCATGTTTCGTTTGAAATGCAGATTTCATAATTTTCAAAGGGGTAGAAGCTTCAATTTGCCGGCAATAGAGGAAAGTAAACTTTTTTGTAGCAATTAGACAATACCTAGTGCACAGCTCACCTCAATTTATGCATGAATAACACACTCCAGCATGATTTCCTCGATACCAGGAGCGGCCATGCAATGTCCTTATTCTAAATATAAATTACAGTGGGACATAAGTAAAAGACCTGGTCACGGTATCTTTTGTCTATACAGCACGCACAATTCTCACTAGTGGTGGCTTGTGGCACAGCTGCTCGTCCAATACCCATTCACAGCAACACAGTCTTTTAACAGTTCTTCTCACTGCAAGGAATGCGGACGCCCCTATTTCCATGCCTTCCTCTTAGGTGCCTGTCTGACAATTTCATCGTATGCCCCTGGCATATCTAAGCAAAGAAAGTAGAGTGCTATAATTATCATCAGCTTTCAAGCAAAGAACTAGCCTTTATGATGCCTTTGACATAATTGGATTTATACAGCAAGTTATTAAGCCTGGATTTCAAACCATGCAATGGAACAGCTGCAAATTCATATCTAATCCTTTTCATGGAAATTATTTCTCCGTCACATAATGTGCTTGCGTGCACTTACATACCTAAGATGATGTGATGATGAAAAATTGACGTGACATGATATTCAGTGCCCAGCAACCATAACATGTAATCAGATAGGATGGCAACCTAATCCTATCCATAAATATTCACAGCATTATGTTTGCTAGCTTTCATTTATGTCATGCTAATATTTCATGCCTCAAAATGCTTTCAAACATGAAATAGAAAAGAGGCTTGTTATCTAAGCAGTGTCAAGACAAATTAAAGAAATGCATCAGCTTTACATCATCATAACAATAATATGGTATATTTGGTACCACCAGGTTCATACATGTCTTCGCAAGTGCAACTATAGAAACGCAACACACACAATCAAGCATAGTGGAAGACAGCAGGCAAAGCACTCAACTCCCCGCAACTGGCAGCCCAATGCCGCATTACGCTAAAATCATGGATAAAGACCTGTACCTTTAACATTACCAACAGGTTTACATATTGCTACCGCCATGGGCGTAGGAACAGGGGGGCCAGGGGGCCATGGAACCCCACTTTTCAAGGTGGGGGGTAGCAATGTTAACTGGCCCCCCACTTTTCAGACTAAGGTTGCATTTGGCTTCCTTTTGCACTACATTAAACATGCATGCTGATTTGCCTAGTTCACCAGCCATCTCCCTTAAAATGTGCCATCTTTTTCGCTCGCTCGTTGGCCATCGCTCAGTGTTACAGCCACAAGACCGACGCCGCACTGCCTGGAGACTGCAACGCCGGGCGTCGAGGCTGTTTTTGCTGACTTGTGACCTCGCGTGTTCAAGACCATATCATGTAACTTTCTAATCAGTGATCAGCTCTGACAGGATCTTCGGCATTTTAAGGCGAACATGGGGTAACCACATCAATACAAATTAGGAACCTCATTTCATGTACAATCTACAATCGGGAGAAGCCAATATCTTTGAAGAAAACGGAAAAAAACGGAACTGGAGTCTTTGTGAAAACTGCCAAACTACCTGCGGTGATCAGGGATGTTGCTGCGTCAATGAGAGTTCCTGTGCTGATCCGGGGCCAACTGCGCGAGTCAGAAAGCCTCCCGTGTCGGGGATGGGAACAACGTGACATGATGCATCCTCCTAATGGCCTCCAGATCGACCAGGAGATCCCGCCCCGTGCCACCAGAATGATAGGCAGAAGACACTTTGCGATGGGTCGCAATGGCCCCTCAGCCCTTGACCAGAAACGGTAACGTACCCTGGTGTTCTACTCAAGAGGCCCCTTCCAGGAAGGAAATAAGGGGTCTTATTATTGTTGAGTAAATGGGTGTCTCATTATTGTTGAATACGGTGGGACGAAATGAGCATAAAAAACGAGCAAGGCCGTGCTATGCTTGCCTGAGAACGTTCATTTCTTCAGAATGTATGTTTGAAACAAATTACATCAAAAGGCTTGAATATGCCCGCCCGCAACCTCGATAGCAGGGACAGGGATGGTCTGGGTTGCAGCTTTCGTAAAACCGAAAAGTTTCGGCCACTGCAAGTGCCACCAGACGGCGGGCGCCGTGCTAATCTATCTTCTGGATATATAAAACACGAAAAACAGAGATTCTACCTTCACTCTTCCAGTTCAGCCAACAGATTCCAGCCCCACTTCGTGGTGCTTTAAGGGCCAATCGTTCTTTTCATCAGTCTTAAAATTGCACAGGTGAAATATGCGCTCGATTGCCTTCTAAATGTAAGTTGTGATGTCATGGAGCGTTCAACAATACTTTTTTCTGAAGCGTCGTCATTTTCGTTCACACATTGGCCACAACTTAATATTAACTGCCAAGCTGACGCCGCGCGGCCTACGGAGACTGCAACGCCTGGGGTCGAGGTTTTTGTTGGTAAGATTTGCGAGCGCGCATGTTAAAAAGCACGTTACATAAATTGTATTACTAATAAATTCTGACTGGATGGTGAAAATTTGCAGACAAACATGGCTTGGCCGTGCTAATACACATTGTTGATCACTCGAT